GTTTGCAACTGAAGTGGTTCCCAGAGCCGTATTATAAAAAAATCTCATTTCCAAGATCATAAAAATGATCCAGGGGAACTCCCTGGCGGTCCAGTGGTTAGGAGTCTGCGCTTCCACTACAGGGGGGCCTGGGTTCGATCCCTTCTCAGAATTTGTATTTATATTAAAATATAAAATTTGCTAAATAATAACTGCTATCATGACATATGTTACTATGTCTGACAATGGTGTCCTGCAAACAAGATAGTAGTCTTTGCCAAGAATAAGTGTATGCATTTTTGTGTTATTTGATTTCTTACAATTTTTAACTTTTAAAGTAATAACATGCGACAGTTTCTTGGTGCTCTAAAGCACTGCTCAGCTAATCTCCTCTGGAAAGTCTATATTCATATTAGAATTTTTGAAATTATTCTCAAGATAATAAGCTATGATTATTTCTTTCCTCTGAGATGAATAACAATAGGATTCAGGTGAGTCAAATTCATTATTAAATTCTGCCAGGTTCCTTTAACTCTCATTAATATTTATCATATGGTAAATGATGTACTATGCTGCCCCCACGCACACCCTTGATCTTTTGGTACCCTCTTCTGTATACCACAATCAACAATCCCTGTGATGCTTTTATTTTTATTTTTAAAAATATTTATTTATTTAGGCTGTGCTGGGTCTTAGTTGTGGCATGCGGGCTCTTTTAGTTGTGGCATGTGGGATCTAGTTCCCTGATCAGGGATCAAACCCGGGCCCCCTGCATTGGGAGCGCGGAGTCTTAACCACTGGACCACCAGGGAAGTCCCCCTGTGATGCTTTTAAATACAGTATGTCTACAAAATCTTTGATAATCTTTTTTTTTTCAAGAAGAACTTATTTTATCTCTGGAGCACTTAGTGACTTGTTTCTAATGAACAGAATAAAGTGGAAGCAAAGGTGTGATTTTAGAGACTAGCTTGTAGAAAGCACTGTGGCTTCCTCCTTGCTCTCTTGGATCTCTTTCTTTGTTACTCTGAGGAAGATAGCTGGCACACTGTGATGAGAGGCCCATGTGGTGAGGTATCTTGCCAACAGCCATCTTGGAGTGAGCCATCTTGGAAGTGTATCCTCTAACCACCGTTAAGCTTTCAGGTGACTGGAAGCCCTTGGCCACATTCTGACTTCAATCACATAAGATCCTGAATCAGAACTACCCAGCTAAGTCACTTCTGAATTTCTGACCCACAAAAAGTGATTAATAAATAGTTGTTGCTATATATTGGGGTAAATTTGGGGTACTTTGTTTTGTTTTTTTTGTTTTTTGCGGTACACGGGCCTCTCACTGTTGTGGCCTCTCCCGTTGCGGAGCACAGGCTCCGGACGCGCAGGCTCAGCAGCCATGGCTCACGGGCCTAGCCGCTCTGCGGTATGTGGGATCTTCCTGGACCGGGGCACGAACCCGTTTCCCCTGCATCGGCAGGCGGACTCTCAGCTACTGCACCACCAGGGAAGCCCGGTACTTTGTTATATGATAGATAATACAATGAATCCTATCTCAACAAGAAATACTGTACAAACTACAGTGGTGTACAAGAGGTGAAACTCAAGTTTTCCATTAAACTGAGTACTTCTCCTCTAATGTCACTAAACTACAAGCAGAATACTAAGGGTCATCCAATGACACAGGTTCTGCGACCTTGACTTTTTTATGTCCTTTTAGAAATCAAAGGACTCTTGCACGCTCTTTGTGTAGGATTTCTATGAACAAACTAAACTATACGTTTCATGTTTCTCAAATACAATTTTCTAAAAGGTCCTCTTTTCCCTCAACATATTCCTTTTTCCTCCACTCTATGTGTCTCATTTTCCAAGGCAGCCATAGTTGCCATTTGCCATAATGTCTGGGGGTCTTTCCCTTTTCAAATAACCTATCCAAGTCCCAAACAAGGTAAACAGTTCTCAAACTACCCACCAAATAGGAGGAGGAAAGGACTGTGAGTGGTTAGCAGTAGCCTCCTTCTGTTGTTGGTTCAAAACGTTTCTATTAACTCACTAATTCATTACAGAGGCTAGGCCAACTGATTGGGAATGTAATTTCTAAAATCAGTTAAGTTTTTCATGACACAGAGAACTATATTCAGTATGATAAACCATAATGGAAAAGAATATATATATATGTATAACTGAGTCACTTTGCTGTACAGCAGAAATTAACATAATGTTGTAAATTAACTATATTTCAGTAAAAAAAATAAAATCAATTAGTTTTTGAGAAGGCTAATAAAATAAAAGCATATTGAAAACAGAAAATTGTGCCATTATCTTAGCCATTTCTGCATACTACCTTCTAGGTTTTGTCTTGTGTATACATGCATACTTTGACAAAATTGCAAGCAACCAATACGGAATTTTTTCATTTTGGAAAAACCTTAATGATATCCATGCCAATCAAACTCCTTCAGGAAAGGATTTCAATTGTATTACCTAAAAGTGTATTTAATTATAACTTAATTAGCTCGATCAACATATATGCCAATGGAAAAGATTTTAATTTCAATTGGCCAGTATTTTTCTAAATTAGGACTAATTTTTGTAACGCATATATAGCCAGCTCTTAAATACTCAATAAATCCAATTTATCCATTCTTTTAGAATATATTTCTTCTCTTTAATCCTTTATATGTTTAGTGCTCATTAGCACTTTGGCTCTAGATATATAAAGGAAGATTAGAAAACTGAAATATAAAACTGCTAATTTTTATTATAGTACAAAAAGATTGAGTTGATGAGCTATTCAAAGAGTTAAATACGTAGCTGTCAAATAAATCTTTCCCCTGTTAGTAAAGATAATTAAGAGAACTCACTGAATTTAGATTTATTTCCTACTTGGAGCTTTATATTTTTCCCTCTTATGGTCTGTCAACAAATAAGGTTATAATTGATGCAACATTATTAATTTTTTGGAAATAAGCTACCTTTGACATGATTTCTGTTACTTACACTTAATTTCAGCCCAGCTGTTCAGATATATATATATTTGAGACATAAAGATATCTTACAAAATTAAAACAAACATAATTTAAAAAAGAAATCTGTTTGAAGGTTCTCTTTGAACACTAATTGACAAACTCTAAAACTTTCATAATGACAAATTATCCAAATTCAAAATAAACTAAATTATTAATATATCTTAGAGCCTTTCACATTATCCCCTTTGTTCTAATCAAGACTGCTACTTTCAAAAATACTTTCTATGTACTTGAGCTGCAGATAGTTTATTATTTTCAGAGAAATGTTATAATTGGAATAAATATAAGAATTTTGACTAAAAATTGATGATAAATCATGACATTTAGAAGTCTCTGAAACAGGAAAATGGTCTGCAAATGTTATTTACTTAAGCACTAAATTTATGTCAGCATTTTATAGTAGTTCAATGATTTTAAAATGTACTATAATAGGCTCTATCACAAAATTGTATTCTAACACTCAGAATCACTGTTTCTGAATTTTGTCTTTTGCAAAATAAACCTGAACATGTTCCAGTGGCACAGTTTCTTGTGTTTACTAGCAGTTTTAGATAAACGGAAATTGCAGTGGGGGTGAAGAGAGCTGAATGATTCAAATAAAAGTCCAATAATGATTCTAAATAAAGAAATATGAACTGGGAGATACTGTAGGGAATTTTTCATTCTAAAATTTTTATTTATAGGGAATTGTCAAACTGGATTTCTCAGATTTGATGTTAAATAAAAACAAGTTAAGATAGTCTTAGTTATGGGATAAGTAACTGAATAACCTTGACACACAAAGTTAAAATCTCCTACCTGATTTAGAAGGGAATAAATAAATAAATATAGCACCCTTGACTTAATTGTCTTGTGGTTGTTAAGTGTCCTCATTTGTTAGGAGATATTATTTCACTCAAGAGCTGTTTCATCTCACTAAAACACAACTCATCTCATTAAAAAAATTCATTTTTAAACATAAAATTCCAATGATTCAGAAAAGCATGGAGAATAATACAATATACATCTGTATTTCGACCACCCTGATTTAACGAGCATTAAGATTCTGCCATATTTTCTTCAGAACTTCTCTTTAAAAACAGAAAAGCTACAGATATACCTGAAGCCCTCTTTATTCCTTTCCCAGAATCAGTCTCTTTTCTCCCCACCTTCATTTTTCTAAAGAATACCCTTCCTGCATACGTTTTTATACTTCTACTACACGTTTATATTTTTATAAATGATGTCATAATGTTTTATATTTTTAAAAAATCTAAATAAATTATTCCCATTTTTTCATTTTGAAATTTCCATTTTTTACTCAACATTGTTTTTGAAATCTAGGTATATTAATATATAAATATTTAGTTTAATTTTTCTAAAATGTTTAATTGTAAGGATATACCATTCTGCTACTGACAGATGTTTAGGTTGTTTCTAACCAATGTACCATGAACATCTTTGTACACATCTCTCTGCAGATATGCAATATTCCTTTTTATATTGCTTCAATGAAGACTTTTGCTTAAGCTAGTTAGGCGGATTTTGTTTTTTAATTAAACACAGGCAAATGAAAAAACTAGAATGCTATTTTCTAGCCCAGAATCATCTGTGTCTTACTATCTTATTTCTTTCTATGTAAAATCTTTTATTTCATTGGTAAACACCTGTGAGATAGAAAAGAGAATACTAGGAAATAGGAAATTTAAGTCTTTATTTTACTTGGAAATAGTGCTTCAAATATATTTAGGAACATGTAAGTTACTTGTTTGTATATAGAGAACTTCTGTTTAGAATTCCAGTGGTGGATCCATTTCAGGAAAATAAAATGGGGAAGATGTGTTATGTACCACCATTTAAATTTTGATTCTTGCAACAGCAGTGTTAGGGTTGAAAAGAATCTTATCCACTTTCTCCACCGTTCCTGCCCATCCCAAATGTGACAGAATACTGACTAAATAATTCAAGAAGCCCGATTTCTCATTTATTTCCTTTAGGGAATAAACTGGCAGCGCAGTCTACCTTTGATTCTTTTTCTTTTGGTATTCGTGATTTTACGTTATCATGTGGCTGATCCAGAGTCAAATTATTCCTCCTTGCTTCACTGTCTTCAAGCAGGGGAACACAGCCATAACTGTTATCTGTAAGACAAAAACCTCTTAGACATAAGTGGGAAATCCTTGTTTTTGGTACCACCTGGAAAAGTAAAAAGAATACAAACCCAAATCCCTAATTTTAAAGAGTAGAGATTTTAAACTATGAATTTAAAAAATTCTTTAGATAATAGTTACTTTGACAATTTGCCCATTTAGGTTTTGGCATATTTGATTCATATTTTTTTACTTTCATTCCCACTAAACGCACAAAACCCCTACTCTTCCAGTATCAGTAGTATATAAAATATGTAGAATTTAGAAAACTAGAAGTATGTTCTTTGTATCTTATCATCAGCAATGTAATTAAACTTTTATTTAAGTCATATTTTCAGGTATGCATTTCTTGTTTATGATAATTATTTGCATAATACTCTATGCTTATTATTAAAAAATGAGAAAATGCAGACATGCTGAAAAGAATAAAAAAATAAAAGCTACCCACAGTTTTTATTATCTGTGAATTATTCCTGTTAACATTTTGGTTTATATTTTATCAGAATTTTTCTTTTCCAATACATATAAATTCACAAAAGAATCTTTTTTTTTGCATAGATAAAATTACATTTATTTTTTATCTTGCTTTGCTCAGTTTGCCATATGTCATGAATATGTCTCATGTTTGTAACTGAACACCTATTATCACTTTTCTTGGCTACATAGCTGTTCACTACACAAATGACTGTGATTTAACTGTTGAACATTTATTTCTAGTTTTCCATTATTAGAAATTATACTGTGATGAGCATCCTTGCATATATACCTTGAGTACTTAAAGAAATATCTTCTTATGATATATTCTTAGGACTTAAATTTTTGGTTTAAAAGGCACAGACATTTTAAAAGCTTTTGCTATTTATTGACAAATTGTCTTCTAGGAAGTTTTATCAACTTAAGAGTTCCACCAGATAATATATGTGAATGTCCATTTTCCCATTTCCTGCAACTGTTCATTTCTTAAATAAACATAACTGTACCACAGTTATTAAAATATCAGAACTACTGTAAAACAATGGAGAAATAAAATAGAAAAACTTAACTTCCATCTTTCTTTTCTCCCAGAGGTTTAAGAAATAAATAAAAATTTAACATGAACATACCTTGACTGGAATTCACAAGAAGTAACTGTGATTTTAGCTTGTCAATAATAGTTTGTTGAAGTGACAGCTGTTCCTGTTGCTCACGTATTCTCTGCTCATAGTTCTCAGTCTGCTGACATAAAAACCAGTTAGCCTGATATTTACTGACAGACATGTACATACATTTACTGCCCCTTAATAATTACATATAGATATGAGTTACCCATATTGCCACTTCCCAGGTACTGGAGCATTTATTTATGAGCTAAAAATAGGATCCAATAATGCATTTATAATCATTACACATAAGTGATTTAAAACGCTTTAAACACTGTAAAATTTTAAAAATCTTCTTAAAGAAATTTCAGTTAAGAGTTCAATGTATAGTTCCTTGGATAAAAATTATAATTTAGAATTTAATCCTTAATAATAAAAAAAAAGCATGAATGACAAAATGGATATTAAAGTTATTCTATAAAAATACCCACTAACTTTAAAAAGTGAAGATTTCATGTCTTTTAAATAAACACACTTTTGAATTTACTTTTAGAGTACAAAAACACAAAGGAAGTAGCTATAGCTAAAACACTAGGAAAATCAAAGGACATGTACAAATTATAAAATACATTGATCAGAAACTTCTAAGATTAAGTTTTAAGAAGTCAAGAGAGCACATGGTTAATCTCTAGTGGATATCTTAAATACCACAATTTCCCTTATATTTTTAATCCATTCACCTTACTATTTCATTGCAGTGGCTGTGAGAATTAAACAATGAAAGAAGAACACGAGTTTGCATTAGAGGATACAAATGTTGCAAACCCGAAATTTGAAAACGTTCCATTACAATTATCAAATTAACACGAAGTCTGAAAAATATATGACCAAAAAATAATAGAGAATTCTTTAACAATTTCTATCACTAGAAGAACATATAAATGACTAAATTGTAAATTCCTTGAAATATGAAATGGGGTTCTAATAATCTTGGACTGTCCTTCAATAGATACTAAATATACTATTTTGAATTGATACTTAATCAAGGTTCAAAATTAATGAAGCTCTATTATTTTCAGAGATCTATAAACCTAAAGTTCTTTATATACACAGCTGTTCCTAGATTCCCAAAGTAAATCAGCTTAAGAAATGAAAGCAAAATACCACATTTTCCCAAATAAAAGGTGAAATTTTATAAGTATTACACTTCAAACATGAGTAACTGACAAAGCTGGTAAATAACCCAAGTGGTGTGTTGTCTTTGCATGTTGCCTGAGGGTAGTATCATATAACTTGATACTCCCATAGAACTCTGCAAAGTAACTTACACATAGGAGGAATTCAGTACAGGCTTATTGAAAAAATAAAAGAAATAAAGAATCCAATTAAAAGAAAATCCAAGTAAATTTTATTATAATGAATAAAAGAATAAGTCTTTTGAATCTGTCTGAACCATATGTCCTATGACTAGGAGCCTGAGAACAGAACCTTGGATACCAAATTCCAGTCGAGGGCCAGGCTTCCCCAAATAAGACTTCTTATTCCTACATAAACTTACATCCAAGCCCCTAGAAAGAGTGGGTAGGCTGACTGTAAGAAGGGTTTAAACCTCTAATGCAAATTCTGTAATACTTTAAATTTACCTGGCTACACAGAGCCACCAGGGCTGAGGAATCAGCAAACACACTGATATTACAGTCTGTACTATCTACTTCTGTGTATTTAGAACTTTCTCTAAAGAACTCAAAGCTTTTCATAAATATCAACGAAAAATTACCCATTCTTTCACTATTCTTTGAGAGCTATATATATTCTACTATCCAGCATTAAGTAACCAGTACAAAAAAACTTAGTAAGTTAGAGACGGGCCCAGAATAAATGTATAAGTTATTCAAGCCTCAGTCCATTCTCCATGTACTATATATTTTCCCCCAACCTTAATGAAAAAACAAATGACTTGTATTTTCTTTTGGAACCAACTCAGAAAGCCTCTGCCAGGTAATTTTCATCTTCTAGTTTCTGGCTTAAAAATATACTTTAGCACATCTGCATATAACATATTACAATAAATGAATAATGCTGAAAATGTTTTCATTAGCTGGAAAAAAATCTATAGATCAACAATAATTTCAAGTTGAAGTTTTGAACTATTTCTTAAACAACAAAGTACTTTATAAACTTAAGCAAATTCTGTAATAATTTAAAAACCAATACTCTGGAAGTATAGCAGGGGAAATAGAACAGCAATGACCCATGTTCTTTTACTGTTCTTTCCACATACTTACATTATATCAATTACAGTAGTCTAGCCTAAATGTTTATATGTATGACTTCCCTTTAGACTATGACCTCCTCAAGGGCAGAGACTATTTTCTCCTGAGTACCCCATCTCCAGAGTACAGCAGAGTACCTAACACACACTGAGATGCTCAATAAATATTAGTCGAATAAATAAACTAAGTTTTATAAGGAAATATAAGAGAAATAGATATGCCTTCAGAAGTAACCTGAAGGAATGGAGATAAGGTTTTGCTTACATTTCTATAAGGAAAATAGGAAAAATAGAGACAGTAGGTCAGTAGGTAAATAAGACAAAAGGAAATTAAGTTTCAGAAGATGGATGCAAAAAAAAAAGGCCATGTCTGAAGATTTTCTTTTTCTTTTTTTGGAAAAAAAAGGGAAGCTTATACTATCAGAAAAAAAAGTACTAATTTGAGAAGAGAAAATACATATTTAGAAAATAGTATAAAGCTTCTGACCACAAGGCTATGAGAGGGGAAGTCCAGAAGGGGATACTGTATCAAACTGGGAAATAACCAGCAGAATTCAGTTTACTTGCTATGTTTGGAAACTAACAGGAACAAGAAGTTTGGTTTTTTTTTCTTTTTAGTAAATGCTTTTGTTCACTGAACAGATGTCAACAAACTTACTATCTGAAAAGTCTTTTTAAAAGGTCAGATAATTGTTGCACTGTCACAGTATTTTTTTTAAAAAAACCAGTACAATTAAAAAGCAAGTACATTCCAGCACTACCAAAGACCCAACAAAACAGAAAAATCACTAACAACCACATTGAAAATGTACAACAGCAATGTCTTGTCAACACTTCTGTACAGAGCACAGACATGACAGCTAAAACAGACAGAAGAGAAGATGCTTTTGACAGCCAGTGTGTGTGAATGATTCTTTGAGTCAGATGGCAGCAACAAGTTACCAACTAGGAGATCTGCATGACAACTAACCATCCATCTGTATCAAACACCATCTGGCCGAGATGACTCTGGCTTCTGTGTATTTGACACTCCTTCCAGTTCCAAAGACTAGCAAAACAAGTGGTCTATCAGCATCTAAAGAGGTAAACAGGTACTTAGGTACTTGGTGCCAGAATGTACTTTGTATTCTTTCTCAGTGTTCAAAAGCAAAACTTAAAACAATGGTGATTAAATACAGTACACATCTTGAATTTACTAAAAATGGTTGTCCATACATACTCTCGACTATCATAAATAAAGCAAAAAGCTTATCTTAAGAAATGTCCCTTTATCCAGGCAAAATTTCAATCCATCTTCAAAACTAAGGCAGCATATTCTCTATAATTTTGGACATACAGCTGCTCAAGTTTTCATGGGTTTCATAAATATTAATATAGAGTTCTATAAATTGAATTTTTTCCTACTGCTGATACTGAAAATTCTCATTTTTCATTTCCAAAGCACGTATTTCCTAAATGGGAAAAAAAGTTCAAGTGTCCTTAAGTCATCCATAATTCTCTAAATAGGTCAAACATTATCTCTTCTCATCCTCAAGAACTAATCCCAATATTCTGAGACATACCATTCTTTTCCTCTAAGTATAGAAAGAATAAAAACTTTAGTAAATATTGAATGGATTAAAAGAAAAAGCCTTGGTTTAAAAACCTTTCAAACTGTTCCAAGATTAACAAAGAGGACAAAAGCTTTATTGAAGGATTTGCTTGGCTACCACAAAAGCTCTCAATAGGGAGCTCCACAGTTCATGAAGGAAGATAATTAAATATTAATTATTCCAATACATAACACTTCAGACACAAACTAATTGTCTTATCTTGAAACTTTGGTAAACTAAAAACCAACTTCAATTTTAGGTTAAAAAAAAAAAGAGACGGTATAGGATTAAAAACTCAGAGATATAGTTTACACAGCTCATTGCTAAACCATTCTCTGCTATATTCTCCTATAACTAAGAAGTTATAAACCCTGCCCTCTCCCACCTTCCTGATACCAAGACTCACCTGGGAGATCTGCAATTTGACAGATCAGATTATCAATCTGATTATCTACTATTAAGTGACAGTGCTGTCACCAATTTCTCTGCATGCCAAATGGTAAACTATTTTTATTTTACAATATTGCATTGTGGTCCTGATTAATTTATTCAACTTCTTTGAGCCTTGGTTTCTTTCACTTTGAAATGAAAATAATATTTACTTACAGGATTGAAGGAGATTGTTTATTATGGTACATAATAAGCTCTTTGCAAACATTAGTTACTTTCCTGTAATAATGAACAGCGTTTCCACATAATATCTGTTACTATAGCATGTAGTGCATATGTCCATTAACTAAAGCTCTGATTATCACTGTACATAGGCAATTTGTCACCAGACTTACCACACAACCACCCCATGCTCTAAGCCAGTTTCTCAGTCCTTCTAGTTCACTGTAATCTAGGACTCAGAAGCTTTTCTTCAAGAAATCAGTGTGGTATCTCCATTGAATCAAAAACATTCTGTCAAGCAAAAAAACAAACTCTGGTTGTTCAAAGTTTACAAAGAGACTAAATAGGCTCAGAAATGATTAAGAAACAAAATTGTCGTTAAAAACTACAAAAGTAGCACGTTTGTTGAAAACAATGCAAAAAACAACAAAATGTCCACCATTACCAACATAACAAAACCCCAGATATGTACAAAGTAAAAGTGACAGTCTCTTCCTTTACTTTGCTCTCCTTTCCTCCTCAGAGGTAATTACTACTGACACTTGGGCATTTGCCCTTTCAAAACTTCTGTGTACATGTGTATGTATCTTTTTTTTAAAATGTGAACTGTTTTGCAACCAAATTTTTCATCAACACATTATCATCATATGATCATTTCAC